GCAGTCTAGCCAGAGGTGAAGAGCACACTGTTGAAACACAAGTAACCAATAAACCAAGGAAGAATTAGCATCAGACTCATCTCCCCGCTTTCTTTTTTTCCATTATTTTAAAAAATATTTTTATTTATTTATGCATACAAGAACTGGGGTGTAGGCCAGAGGTGTGGTGGGGGTGGTGGGGGTGAGAGGATTCACCAGAGCCAGAGTGGGGAGCAGAATAGGCAGATTTACTGAAATAAACTGCTGAGGGGAGCAGCAGGTTGAGATAGGAGTTCTGCAGCGTCATATGTGGGTAAACTCCCTGGCCAGGAATCAAACTCAGGCAACATTGGTGATAGCGTGATAGCGCTGAGACTTAACCCCTAAGCCACCAAGGAGGCCAAAATAGTTATTTTCTTAACTTATTTATTTTAATTTATGCTATACCTAATCATTTCACAGCAATTTTCAGTGAGGCAAAAAGGAGAAAGACAAAATTAATTTGTGCAGTGAGAGCATTTGGAGATATTTTAAGGACAGGGTGAATAATCTGTTTAGTCAGAGAACCAGGATTTCAAACTTCTTCCCTGTATGGTTATATAAATCACGTAAGTTTCAGTTCCAGCAAAGATGATGAAATACAGGAAGAACAATTTGAATATAAATTTTAATTTGAAGCTGAGCAAATCCAAGATTACGATAAATCCAACAGTTTCAGTATTGAGCCATCTTTTAAAGTCAAGCACTTGTCAAAGTTCGTAAGGACACCTGGCCCATCATGTGATGGGTTAACACTCCGGACTTTGGATAAGGCCTCCTAAAAAATAAGGACTTCAAATTTCTGTCTTATCCTTCTCAAAGACTGAGTTTGGAAAAGAGGCAACACTACCAACATTTATTGGACCTTAATGAATTTAGAAAGTAATAATAGGAGTAAAGAGAAATTTCAGTAGTATCTCTTTGATCTTATCTCTCAATTAACTTTTTTTTTTAAGATTTATTTATACAAACACTAGGTACAGTCAGAAGTGCAGGAGAGTGAGAGAATTCACCAGAGTCAGAGTGGAGAGCAGAGCAGGCAGACTGATGAAGCACACTGCTGAGGGAAGCAGCGGCGGCAGGAGAGGTCTGCGCGCCATGTGGGACCCTCGCTGGCGGCCCGGGGATCAAACCGGCGCTGCAGAGGCTGTGGGCAGCTTCACAACTCAGCGCTCAACTGCTGTGCCACCGGGGAGGGGAGGCCCTTTTTTTTTTTTTTTAAAGATTTTACTTATTTATTTTTGCTTAGAAAAAGTGGGTGTAGACGAGAGGTGCAGGGGGCAGGGGTGAGAGGATTCACCACAGAGTGGGGAGCAGAACAGGTGGATCTACTGAAATACACTGCTGAGGGGAACAGTGGGTGAGACAGGTGAGGTCTGCTGAACCATTTGGGTATCTCCCTGGCTGGGGATCGCACTGGTGCTGCAGTGGCTGTTGATTGCTTCAGTGCTGAGACTTAACCCCTTGTGCCACCAGTAGATCTGCCTGTTCTGTCCCACCCTCCCGCGCCCCACCCCCACCTCCCAGCCTGTCTCTGGTGAATCCTCACCCCCTGCACCTCTGGCCTGTCCCCCAGTTCTTATATGCATAAATGAATCTTTTTTTTTTAAATATCTTTTATTTTTTTTATTTTTTTTTTATGGAGGCAGGTTTATTATTTGTTTGTTTGTTTTTGTTTATACAAGCACTGGGTACAGTCAGAAGTGCGGGAGGGTGAGAGAATTCACCAGAGCCAGAGCGGGGAGCAGAGCAGGCAGAAGGACCGAAGTACACTGCTGAGGGGAGCAGCGGGCGGCAGGAGAGGTCTGCGCGCCATGCGGGACCCTCCTCTGGTGGCCGGGGAGCAGCCGGGGATCGAACCGGCGCTCCAGAGGCTGCGGGCAGGTTCGCAACCCAGCGCTCAACCGCTGCGCCACCGGGGAGGCCCGAATCTTTTTTTTTTAAAGATTTATTTTTATTTATGCAAGCACTAGGTAAAGTCAGAAGCGCGGGAGGGTGAGAGAATTCACCAGAGCCAGAAGGCAGAGCAGAGCAGGCTGACTGACGAAATATACTGCTGAGGGGAGCAACGGGCAGCAGGAGAGGGTCTGCGCACCATGTGGGACCCTCGCCCGGCGGCCGGCCGGGGATCGAATCGGCGCTGCAGAGGCTTCAGGCAGCTTTGCAACCCAGTGCTCAACCGCTGCTGCGCCACCAGGGAGGCCCCAATAAATAAATCTTTAAAAAACACTCCTCTAACGTTCAAACTAAGTCCTCCCTACCAACATTGATGTAGAGTAGTGGAGATAAAAGTAGCCAACTTCACATAAAAAACAAATCACTCCTTTTTCTCACATTTAATATAGTCACTTGAAACAACTTTAATTAATCCTTCATCAGGTAACAAATGTGCTATAACTTTCAATGTTTTTCCTGTTTCTCCACTAAGGAGGTAATCTCACTGAAGGGGCATTCCATGGCATGGTCCATAGCACCTGACCCAGGTGTTCTGTTATATCAAATTCGAGTTACTGGTATTTTCTAGAAGATAGAATCTCATTGTATTAAATTTTGTCTTTTTTAAAAGATTTATTTATGCATACAAGAACTGGGGTATAGGCCAGCGGTGCTGGGGGTGAAAGGATTCACCAGAGACAGAGTTGGGAGCAGAACAGGAGGATCTACTGAAATACACTGCTGAGGGGAGCAGCAGGTAAGACAGGAGAGGTCTACTGTGCCATGTGGGTTAGCTCCCGGGCCAGCAGGGATCCAACTCGTGCTGCAGTGGCTGGTGATAGCTTCATAGCACTGTCTTTAACCCCTGTGACATCAGGGAGGCCCCTTAAATTTTTCTTAAAATCGCCCTTTTGCAATGACTCTACTTTTCTATCCATTCAGTCAAGTAAAAGCCCAGCAATTTAAAAAGCTTCCTATTGTGTCATACAAGCTATTTGTAGGTGTGAAAAACTTTCCTTACCCTAAACATCACAGTAGCCCACTTCTTGCTAATATCCCATGACATTAAATTCTTTTTGAACTCTTATTAAATGGCTGAGACACTATCTTCTGCATTTTGTAATGGACCAATGTGGTAATGACATAAACAGTTCCAGTGTTAATCAGCTTGTCTCTGAACTTTTTTCTCTCCAAGATTCTAGGCAGTAATTGGTTTTAATACCCTCCAACTGAATAAAATTGATTATTTGGAGTTTATAAAATAAGGATCACTAAGAACAGAACTATGATTTACACATATCATATCCTTTACACTATTCAGCAACATGAATTCTCAACACAACTGATGGGTTGTAATTAACCCACTTGAAATATGTCTTAAAAATACTGATTTATTTTTAATACACAAAAATAAATTCCCTTCAGTCTTATAGATGTTACTTCCTGGCATTGTTGTTTTGACTATCCTTTAAGAACTATATAGCTGTCAACTTCTTGCTTAATGCTATCCTCTACATCATTAGTAATGAGAAACTAAGGCATAAACTCAAAAAAGCTCTAAGCTACTTTAAATGTGGTAAAAGACTGTTAAAATAGAATTGCACTATACCTCTTCCACTCTCATGCTTCTCCAAAATGCTATGTTTTCTCTTAAGACTTTTGTCCTGCATAGATTGAAATTCTGGGTTTTTTAATTTTAGACACTTGGAGTACCACAAAACATGATTTATTTAGTAGCAAAAACATTTTCAACAATTCCAAAAGGGACCATTACTCAACTAAAACAGTTACAACGATCACTTTTCTTTAAACCTAGAACATAGACCATTGATTATAAGGAAAAACATCACAGCCTTGCCCTTCTACCTGTAAAAAGAATGAAAAACAAGTGAGCTGCATGCTTTTAAGAGGTGATACACAGTCATGTTAAGGGTTTAAAGTAGACAATGCTTCAGTGACATTAACTGTTCAATATACGCTACATTATTCTAGCACTTTTGTACTTAATCTCCATGCTTAAGTTCAGAGAGCAAAATAATCCTGATTCCAAAACAGAGAACTCACCACCAATTTTTAAAGCTGTTTCTTTCCAAGAGGATAGTTTCTCAATTATGCATAGGTATCAAAGTGGTATTCTCTTAGGCTGTTTTGTCAAGGCTAAGCTTTTCTCTCTGAAGTGACTTAACAAGGTCCCTGATTAAAACAAAAAACCTTCAATGAGAAACTTAACTCATGGGAATTTTAAAGCTTCAAGAGTGGCTCATTAAACAGAAATACCACAGGCTTTTTTAGAGCACCGAGTCTAGTGATTGTCGATGCCAAGGAGGCACATATATATTTCACTCAAACTCCTATTTCTGTATGGAAAATGCAGTCAATCTCATAAAGGGCCTAAGAAACCTTTTGCCAGGTCTTTCTATTCTAAATAACACAGGGAAGTCAAGAGAAAGCACTAGGAGGCCATGAAAGTAAATGCATGGGTGTGTGCATTTCCGGGGGGGGGGGGGGGGGGGAATAAACCTGTCAAAGGTATAGCTGCTGTGACCAAGGATTTAGATTTAAACAAGAGTTTAGTCAAATAATGTTTCCCAAAATGTTTATACCTTTGAAGGTAAATAAAGGTGAAACCCTGAAATGAAAAGTAAAATTACCTCCAGGAGAAAACTGCAATATACTATGCTTGTTTGTTCTTAGAAATGCCAGTGCATTTGGATCAAATGTGCACGTCTCAGAAAAACCAGGTTCAGACTAAGAACACTGTTCTATTTTTTTCTAGCAAGTTCCTTCAAACATATGGCCTGATTTCCCAAATTTTTTCACTCCATAATCTGCAATGTTGGCTAGCTATATGCTGAAGTTTTAGCACTGATCTCCTCAACAGTGATCTGCCTATATGATTTTTGTCTGTCTCCAAGAAGCACGAAGTGAAAAGACTGAGGTCCCCTCTAAGACTGTCACAGGAAACTACAGATGAAAGGTAATGTGGAGTCGAGCATGACAAAAAATTCTTCTAGTGAACTTAAAAAACATAATAGTACACGTATTCGCCTGGGTATAAACAATGTACATTGATTAACATCAGCAACAGAACCCAAAACATTGGTAGATCATATCCTAATGTGACAATTTGAAAGCAGACAGTGCTCCATGGGATTAATAAATCAAAATTAGCTGAGACAACATTTTAAATACCACATCATTGAAAACTGAAAACTCCTAGTAGGCATGTCCCCTTTATCAGTTACTTTTTACAGTAACGGTCATAACAGGAGAAAGAACAAGCACCATGCTCACTAATGCAGGTTACTGGACTGCTCTGACTAAGCACTGCAGTTCAGATAAACACTTCAAATCTCAAGTTACTGAATCTTTCTTCTTCCGGAATGGTGATTTCAGCCTCTTCCATACACTGTTTTTAGGTTTAGATTTTTTCTCCATGGCGAGGACTGCCTCCTTTTCTTTCCTACGTATCTCCCGCACAAGGGCATGGAATACATCATCAATGTAGTAGCGGTATGCAGCAGATGTCTCAAAAAAGGGGCAGCTGAATTCCCGGGCCAAAGCCAGTCCTTCTTCCTTGGTGACCTTTAAAAAAAGTAGACATCAAAAAATTTAGTGGTGGGCCTCCCCGGTGGCGCAGCAGTTGAGCGCTGGGTTGTGAAGCTGCCCACAGCCTCTGCAGTGCCGATTAGATCCCCGGCCACTGGGCGAGGGTCCCACATGGTGTGCAGACCTCTCCTGCCGCCCGCTGTTCCCCGCAGCAGTGTACTTTGGTCCTTCTGCCTGCTCTGCTCCCCGCTCTGGCTCTGGTGAATTCTCTCACCCTCCCGCGCTTCTGACTGTACCCAGTGCTTGTATAAATAAATAAAAAATAAAAAATAAAAAAATTTAGTGGTAATAGTGGAAAATAATCACAACTGTTCCCAAAAAGCAAAGGTGCTACTTTAATAGGAAAAGAGTTAAACTCTGGAGATGTTTGAACAGAGAGCAGTGATTTTTATAATGTTAGAGGAAGCTGTACTATGAGACTTCCAAGATTTCCTCAGCTTTCAAATTCTATTCTATTTCTAGTATATTTTGAAGATAACTTTTTGAAACAAGGAACAGTTATAGATATCAACTAATGTTGTCTTCATACTTTTCACTTTAAGGACACAAAACATAAGGCAAAGAAATGTATATACTTAAACTATGCTATGAAAAGCTGCAAGGAACCAAAATCAATAATCCAATTATGGAGATACACCATATTTTTTCCCTATTTTTAAACACTTAAGACACTTTAGATATAAACATTTATTTTTATTTATTTATGCATGTAAGAACTAGTACAGACCAGAGGTGCTGGGGGTTGAGAGGATTCACCAAAGTGGGGAACAGAACAGGCAGACTGACTGAAATACACTGCTGAGGGGAGCAACAGGTAAGTCAGGAGAGGCTGCTGCACCATGTGGGTAGCTCCCTGGCTGGCCGGGGATCAAACTCATTCTGCAGTGGTTGCGGCTAGCTTCATAGGCTGCATCTGTTTAACACCTTGCGCCACCAGGAAGGACCTCAACATGAACATTTTATATGTAAATCCCAGAATAGACTGTTTGAACAGGGATTAAGTACTATGATGGGCATCCCTGGTGGCCTGGGGGTTGAGTCTTGGCGCTATCACCTCTACAGCCTGAGTTCGATCTTGGCCAGGGAGCTAACTCACACATGGCGCAGCAGACCTCTCCTGGCTCGCTCATTGCTCCCCTCAGTAGAGTATTTCAGGAAATCCACCTGTTCTGCTCCCCACTGTCTCTAGTGAATCCTCTCACCCACTTGCAGCTTGGCCTACATCCCAGTTCTTCCATACAAAAATAAAATAAAAACATAAAAAAAAAAGTATATCATGAAGTCAAAGCTAAGTTTGCTTCTGAGGTTTTAGAAACTAAACATTCCATGATCCTTCACTTAATGTATATTTTATTTGTCATCTGATTATTATATGGTGGATTTTATCCTATTAACTAATTCTTCCAGATTTTATACAATAGCCAAGTAGTAGATATGGAGAAATTTTCAAGGTTAAGGAGAATCTAATTTTTGAATTTTTATTTTCAGGCAAAGAAATGTATAAACAAACCAAAAATGACTGCTCACACAAGTTATAGATAGCATTTTCAATGCTATGCTCACCTGTCTTAGCTGATTTAGGTCAGACTTATTTCCCACAAGAACCACAGGTGTGTCATCAGTACGTCTAACTCGATATATAAGTTGCTTAAACTCCCGAACTTCATGGAAACTTCGACGATCAGTGATAGAATAACAGATGATAAACCCTTCTCCTGCTCTCATATACTGATCCCGCATTGCTGTAAACTCTGCCTAGAGGGAAACAAGGGTTGTTAATGTATTGATGCAATCTACAATTACATACCTATTGGCTATTTATTTTATATTAAAGAAAAGATAGGTTGATTACCTGCTATCCTGAGTCAGAGTGCATGAAAAATTAAAAGAGATGAACTAGTGATCTTCCCTGCATACGCCGTCCCCTCCCCTTTGTACTAGAATGAAAAGACCTTTCCTCATAGCATTGTGGGATTTAATACCTGTCCAGCTGTATCCAAAATGTCCAGATTGGCAGGCTCATCATCAATACGAATCCGGATTTTATAAGCGTCTTCTACAGGAGGGAAGAAAGGTGCACTATATATAAACTCACTAATGCAAAAACATTCAACCTTTTTTTTTTTTAAAGATTATTTATTTATACAAGCACTGGGTACAGTCAGAAGCGGGGGAGGGTGAGAGAATTCACCAGAGCCAGAGCAGGGAACAGGACAGGCAGACTGACACTGCTGAGGGGAGCAGCGGGTGGCAGGAGAGGTCTGTGCACCATGTGGGACCCTCCTCTGGTGGCCGGGGAGCAGCCGGGAATCAGAACCAGCGCTGCAGAGGCTGCAGGCAGCTTCGCAACCCAGCGCTCAACCGCTGCGCCACCGGAGAGTCCCCCAACCTTATTTTAAAATTCATTTTATGAATAAGTACATTAGACCTAAGTTCTTTAAGTGCCCATTATTATTCAGAAAACATGCAAAATTCATTGAGATATGTAAATTGGGTCTTTAAAGATTTTTTCCCACACATAAGTAATGACGTAAGTTTATTCATAGTTTAAGTTTTAAAGACTTCATCTACAATTCTGAGATTAAAAAGTTTTTTTTGTTTTTTCTAAAGTACTATTTTTTTTTTTTAAAGATTTATTTATTTATTTATTTATTTACACAGGCACTGGGTACAGTCAGAAGCATGGGAGGGTGAGAGAATTCACCAGAGCCGGAGCGGAGAGCAGACAGAAGGACCGAAGTACACTGCTGAGGGGAGAAGTGGGCGGCAGGAGAGGTCTGCGCGCCATGTGGGACCCTCCTCCGGTGGCCGGGGAGCAGCCGGGGGTCGAACCAGCGCTGCAGAGGCTGCGGGCAGCTTCACAACCCAGTGCTCAACCGCTGCGCCACCGGGGAGGCCCCAAAAAAAGTTTTTTTAAAAAAAATATTAGTCCAGAAAAGTAGCTTTACCTCTTATTAAATAATTGTTAGTAAGTTATACCAAGTTATACTATGTAGTTTATATATATTTATTTAATAGTCACAATAACCCAACGAGGTATTATCTCTATCTCACAGATTTAAAAAAAATATTAAATGCTAAAATGTGGGCCTCCCTGGTGGAGCAGGCAGTTGAGCACCGTACTGTGAAGTTGTCCGCAGCCTCTGCAGCGCGTGTTCGATCCTGGACAGCCGGTGAGAATCCCACATGGCAAAGCAAAGCTCTCCTGTCTCACCCGCTGCTCCCTCAGCAGTGTATTTCATCAGTCTGCCTGTTCTGTTTCCCACTCTGTCTCTGGTGAATCCTCTAACCCTCCCATGCATCTGGCCTGTACCCTGGTTCTTGTATAAATAAATGAATCTTTTTTTATTTTTTTAAATTTATTTATTTATACAAGAGCTGGGGCACAGTCAGAGGCGCGGGAGGGTGAAAGTATTCTATTCATCAGAGACAGAGTGGGGAATAGAACAGGCAGACGGACCAAAGACACTGCTGAGGGGAGCAGCAGATAGGGCAGGAGAGGTCTGCCGCGCCATGTGGGTTTCTCCCTGGCCAGCTGGGAACAGAACCCGCACTGCAGAGGCTGTGGACAGGTTCAAAGGCACTCAACCTGTTGCGCCACCGGGGAGGCCCAATAAATCTTTTTTTTTAAAAAAAATAAATAAATGCTAAAATGTGTTCCCCATATCACATAGTTAATGAACTAATCAGGGATAAAACCAAAGATTGCTGGGCCAAAAGCCTTACATACTTTACCATATGTTATAGAGCCTCCTCATTTTATGGGGGGGGGGGAAGGTTCAATTTTTTCTATTTTCTAAATAATCCATATTGTCATAACTTCTCCTTTATGAAAGCAAATTTCTCTATACATATTATAGTAACCTTGCAGAATACAGGAAAGCTAAAAAGAAAGAGAAAAAAACCCACTCATTACTATCATTCAAACAAGTGTTGCTTACATCCTGATATATTTCCTTTTAACATTTTTTCTTGAAAACCTGCTTCTGCCTCTTTCTCAAGAGTCCACTAAATTAATTTTTCTCAAACTACAACTGATGAACCACTAGAATTAGTGAATTGTAAAGAACTTAGTGGGCTGAAAACAGCATTAAAACAATTAAGCAGAAACTTAAAGAGAAAACACCAGAGCACAACCACAGGTACTAAGTATGGTTTCATGCATTTCAATTATATAAAGATAAATACATGTATACACATATACACTGATATTTATGTTTACTGATTACAATATAAAGTTTTTTTCCTTAGAGTTAGCAATCAAAGTTTGAGACAGAATGCATTAAATTATAAATTCAGTGAGAGCAGATACTGTATCATTTTGCACCCAGTGGGCCTATCACAATGCTTGGCACTTAATAGGAACTCAAGAGACATAAATATCTGCTGTTTAATCAAATAATACTGTTGGGAAAGAAGCTGACTAACTGGGGAAAAGTTGATTACAAAAACTCTTTCAGGGCAGAAGTTTATGGGCTTTACTTTAAAGAAAGGAAAACAAGGCCTCATTGGCGGCACATGGATTAAAGATGCAGCTCTATCACCAGCTACTGTGGCATGAGTTTGATCCCTAGTCCTCCTGCGCCAACCCACGTGGCGCAGCAGACCTCTCCTGTCTTGCCCGCTACTCCTCTCAGCAATGTATTTCAGTCAGTCTACCTGTTCTGTTCCCCACTCTCTCTGGTGAATCCTTTCACTGCTCCCCAACCTCTGTCTACACCCCAGTTCTTGTATGCATAAAGAAACAAATCTTTAAAAAAAAAAAAAAGATATTTCAGGAGCGCTAAATTACCTGAGCACTAAATGATTTTTAAAAAAGATCTATTTTTATTTACTTTTGCATACAAGAACTGGGTTATAGGCCAGAGGTGGGGTGTGTGTGAAAGGATTCACCAGAGACAGAGTGGGGAGCAGAGAAGGCTAATCTACTGAAACATACTGCTGAGGGGAACAGCAGGTAAGACAGGTCTGCAATGCCATGTGGGTTAGCTACCTGGCAGGGATCGAACTGTTACAGAGCAACCCTGATATAAAATGGGTTGCCTGACTGTGGGCCTCACCCACACGCTTAAAGGGGACTCTTTAATGCTAAACTGCAGACACACACAAAAGGTTGATAAAAGGTTTATTTACAAGGGAAATGAATAACTCAGGGAGAAAAAGGGGGACATAAGTTCATAAATACGTCCTACTACCCGTTCCACTGACCTGGAATCCCAATGACCCGCCAAGCTGGCAATAAACCCAGTACATCATGTGGCAGAGAAAGAGAACCCCGGCCACATGGCCAGTTAAAGATTCAAACAGAGAACATAGTTGCTTAACTCCACCCTCAGGTCCTCGCAACCTTCCCTTTGGTGATCATAGGATTTGTAGCTCCCAGTGTCTTGATGGAGTGGGGGTGGAGTCCACAAAGCCTGTATGGAGTTTGGTCAGGACATCCTTTCCCCTAACAGAACTCATGCCACAGTGGCTGGTGATAGCTTGTCAGTGCTGAGACTTAAATCCCTGTGCCACCAGGGAGGCCTCCTAAATTGACTTTATTCCTAGAATTCCCATCATAGTTTGAATCCCAGAAAAATGTTCTAAATTTGATATAGGAGAAAAAACAAGATTGTTTTGATTTTTCTCCAATCCACAGAAATCCCTACTGTATAAAAACGACCTGTCCATGGCACAAGGGGTTGAGCACAGCATGTGAGGTTGTCTGTAGCCTCTGCTGCACAAGTTTAATCCCCAGCTGGCCAGGGAGCTACCCACATAGCGCAGCAGACCTCTCCTGCTCGCCTGCTGCTCCCCTCAGCAGTGTATTTCAGTCAATCCGCCTGGTCTGTTCCCCACTGTCTCTGGTGAATCCTCTCCGCCCCCCACACCCCACTGCTGGCCTGTGCCCCGGTTCTTGTATGCATAAACAAATATTAAAAAGAAGTAAATAAAAATGACCAGTACAAACCTGGGTTAACACAGAATACTCACTGGCTTTGTGGAAAACAGAGCAGCAGACCCTCACTCAATGGAAATTCTCCTAGACCCAGGGTCAAATCCTAAAAATTCCAGTAGAATGGTAGCACTTCTTTGCTCTCTTCCATTCTTTTATACTGGAAGATAACCCTGTATTTTATTTTTTTTTTTAGCTTAATAGGTAGCATTTAATAGGTAAGAAACTAGGAGAGCTCAACGGTCATAGATTTTCTTTTTGGGGTGTCATAAGGCCAAAATTAAGGCATTGATCAGGCTGGTCTATTTTCTGGAGGCTCTGGGAAATCATTACCTTTCAAACTCCTTTAGGTTGTTGGCTGAATTTCTTTTCTTGTGGTTGTAAGACTGAGATTCCTGCTTCTATACTGACTTTTTTTCCTGGGGTTTTTTGTTTTTCTTTTTTTTTAAGATTTATTTTATTTATACAAGCACTGGGTACAGTCAGAAGCGCAGGAGGGTGAGAGAATTCACCAGAGCCATAGCGGGGAGCAGAGCAGGGAGCAGAGCAGGCAGAAGGACTGAAGTACACTGCTGAGGGGAGCAGCAGGCGGCAGGAGAGGTCTGTGCACCATGTGGGACCCTCCTCCGGTGGCCAGGGAGCAGCCAGGGATCGACCCTGCGGGCAGCTTCTAAACCCAGCGCTCAACCGCTGCGCCACTGGGGAGGCCCTCTATACTGACTTTTATCTGGGAGCCACTCTTAGCTGCTAGAGGCTACTTGGATCCCTTGCAGGAGGCCTGCTCCATTTTCAAAATAGCCATGGCATATACACTCCAGGAAGATAATCCTTTAGACTCAAACCTGTTTGCTTATTGATGAAGGCTACGAGTAGAAAATTTGGGAAGGAAGCATCACAAGACCAAAACTGGCTCACAAAAGGCCAGAAGCTGGAGGTGGGGGTGGAAATGATTAACATAGTCAAACAAACTATAGAAAAGTAAAGTATTTGGAAGCGCAGACCTGAGGCAGGGCTAAGGAGATTGAGAGCCATTGTAAAAGAATCTACCTAGTCAAACTAAATATAGAAAAAAATCCTCAGGAGTCAACCCTGGAAATAATTAACTTAACAGCAGTTAACAATTCCACAAAGGGACGAGCCCCTCCCAAAGTGAAGACTATCTGTAAATCTCTGCTGACAAGATGCAGCAGTTCTCCTGTGTGCGAATCTGCAGGTGTTTCTCTTCACCAACTTTCTCCCTTGCAAAGCAGCAGAGCCTCTCCTCCCAAGGCTGCCCGCCTGTAACCAGCTAACAAATCTGTCCCTTGCAGAAGCAGCTCTCTGCCCTCTTGTGTCAGTGTAAGCATCCTTTACTTCCCTTCCTTTTTTATAATAAACCTGCCCTTTTGATATAACTAAACATCTCTGCCTTGTGGGGAAACTCGCTGCTTGCCACTAAAAGGGGAGTTCTGATTGATCTTTTCTGAACCGAACACCTCTCCAAACCGATATCACTTATGGTTCAGAAATGACAGCAATGATCTTAAGTCTTTACAGAGAATTGATAAAATATGGCCAAAAATGCTTTTTACTCCAATAGTGATCTGCCAACAATAAAGCGCTAAAGATTGTAAAGGACATAAGACATTAATACATAGTAAACTTAGGTACAAAGAAGTTAATGAGAGTTTGGTATGGAAGAAATCTAGGCTCTGCATGTCTGGGTTAAGAGAGTTCAGCAGGCTGGCTCTACTTGTTTTTCTGCTTCCTTTTGTGGAAGTTCAAACCAGCTGACTCATACTTACAGAGTCAGTCTCAAGTCAGATCCTTAGAGAAGTGACAGCAAGAGACTTAAGTGGTCTTTACACTTTTCCTTTAATGTGGCAATATGTCAATCATAAAAATATGACAATCAAGTGTCCTATTAGTGTTCAATAAAAACCTAAAGGTGGCTTATGTACACATCAAGTTGTAAGAAAAAATGTTTACCATGCTATGATACTCTTAATTACATGCTAAAAAAATCCTCAGAACAGAGTTAAACACCATTTTAGAAACCTAAGTGATAACCTGACTTACCAATAGTGGGGTCATGATCTTCTGGAAATCGGTGACTGATGAACTGCATGGTCATGGCTTCAAAACAAGAAATGAAAGGTAAAATTCACACAGAAGTAACCCACAGAAAGAAAGAAATGCCAACACTGCATAAGAACCCATCTCCCATTTGGTCTGGGTGCAGATCATTTGTCTTAAGTACTTTTCATCCTTCCTTCTTGAAAAATGAAAATACTCACCACTTTTCCCTACACCACCAGCACCCAGCATCACTAATTTGTACTCCCGTGAGAGCCCTGCAGGGCTGCTACAGCAGCTACCAGCCGGTCGAGCGCCAGAATCCATTGTCCTCTTGGAGAATCCTGGGGGCCCCTTAGGAAAAGGGACCTAAAAAGAAAGATTTAATCCAGGAAGGAGACACCTTGACGAGAGCCCTAGAGGCAATGCCCTACCTTCCCATTCTCTGGCCTATTACGTTCCCTCCTGAAGTCTTTCTGGAGGCCCTAAGAAATCTCCCACACCCTCACCTTCCCTCCAGGACAGCTCAATCCTGTGACACATCACAGACTGTCCGCATTACCACAGTTTCCAAAAAGGAAGAAGACTGTCGTTTCTTTGCAGACTGGGTCACCGGCCAGGGGCGGGCGTCAGCGAGCGCGAACCCCCGAGCACCGAGCCCAGAAACTCCGCCCGGCGGCAGGGGTCCTCCGCAGCCCGCGGCGCCAGCGGTTCCGCCCCCTCCCTGTTCTCCTCCGAGACGGCTTTTTCCCCGCAGCACCCCCGCCCGCCATCACGCAGCACCCCCGCGCCTCACCGGCCGAGCTCCAGCTGCTCTTACCCTCGGACGTGAGGGCCCCGGGCCGGGCCGACCACTCACTCGTCTTCCTTCTGGCGGCGAGGATCGGACGCTGACCTGTGACCCCTCCCGCAGCCGGGGAAGATGGCGCCACCGGCACCCACGTCCCGGCGGGAGGGCGGGGCCACCCCGTGACGCCCGCGGCTGGGCCCACCCCCTCCGGGGAGGGGCCGCTGTCGGGCCAGGTCCTCAAACCCAGTTCGGTGAGTGGCCGCCACTCATTCTACTCCGGTGGAGACCCACATTCACACAGGTTTAAACACTTACACAAGCCAATAAAGGAGATTGTGATCAAGTGCACACATGGGATCTCTAAAGCAACTATTCAGGGGTTGTTTTGACGCTCGTGCTGAAACCTTATCTGGCCAAATGTAATGAGTAAAGAACACGAACATCCACCAAATCCTCCCCATGTCAGAAATGAGATGAAGTTCACGTGCTATGGCAGTAAGAGCCAGTTTTCCCAAAGAGCTCTTGAAAACAGTATTAGGTCTCAAAGATGTTCAGTTAATCAAAGATCTACATGTATTGTAAACATGTTAATGAAGGATAAGATGGTCAAAAATCACTTTTTGGTTTAAACAATGTACTATCCTCCAGTAGAAAATCAAACTTGTTTTTAGGTGACATCGAATTAAACGCAGTCATAAATGAAGGTACTATCACTATATTCTCCTATTCAGGTAGTGAAATTTCTGTTTAAACTTCTATCCACTTACCGTTCTGCCTTAAAAGAACTCCCCCCTTATAATAAAATTTGCATTTCCTTTAAAAATTTTCTTTCACAGTCCCTTTAATCACGTCAATATAAAGGAGGGCTCAAATGTGAAATGGAAAAATCCAGCATAATATTCCTTTATACTTTCACGTGAACTTTTAAAAGTTTACTTAGCAAAGTCATAAAACTCACGGAACTATACAGAAACTTTGAGCTCGCGTGTATTTTTCTGGTGGAATTATAATTTCATTATGGTCTGAGTAAAAATTTATGAACTTTAGTGTATGGGTGGGTTGTAAAAGAAAGAAGAAACCATAAGCAGAATATTTATACATTTATTTATAGTGAAATTATGGTCTAAATATTTACAACATATAGGAAACCAGAGGATCAATTTGTACAAAGCCAGCCTGCAAAGTATTCAAATGTGCAAAAATGACAGTTCAGTATCTCAAACTACTCCTGGTTCAGCAGACTAGCTCCTTCAATTTCATACATCAATATTTGATACAAAAAAGTTCTTTTGGCAAAACCTGTAATGCCAAGAAAAAGGACAAGTTGCAATTTCAGTCACTAAGTCCACCATCCTATTGCAAGCAGTCAAATCTCTTTTTTTTTTTTTTAGCTGCAACCAGTTCTGAGAGAGACAGACCACTGTTTCATTTCTGTGATGAGTTTTTGATCAAGTAGTTATCTCTGACCCAGCTGAAAACAAGGAGCTTAGAAGGGCAATAAAAACAGCAATGGCGATCTGAGACAAAAATGTGCCTGAAAGTGCCAGCTTTGAATCATCCCAATAAAAAGACACAATGAGGGTGGAGGGACGGGGGAAGGGACCCTCTCCCTACCCGGATCCAGCCATATCCAACTGTAGTAGTAAAACTGCATTTTCCAAAACAGAATCCAAAAATGAAATAGGAACGAGCTGTTCTTAGATTTTAAGTACTGAAAGGATGTCTTAAAATAAACAATTCCCCCATGAAGAGTAAGGCTTTTTTGTAATCAGTTATTATCAAAATTGACCAAACAGCAGTAAAATAGAAATAAAACCTTCTCTATGTCAGAATAGGGACTATTCATTTGGAAAAGGCTGGGCTAGATCAAATGTATATGGAAATGACCCTGTTGGGATGCTTTGTTGCATAAGCACATTTTACCAACCATTAAAAAGCTTCTGAGACAAATTTGTGATTCTAAGTAAATTGTAACAGATGCTATGCCACTGCAGAAATAAGGATGTTTTAAAAAGAATGGAACCCCTTCAATAAAGGGGACACTGCATCTTTAAGGACCTCTGCAAAGGTCTTCTGCAAAGGTCCTCTGCAAACGTCCAAGATGGTTCCCAGTACAGGCCTCAGAGTCTTGTTAAATCAAATGCATGCATTATTGCTAAAGAAGAGTCACCGAAGGTCAAAAGTCAATTCCAATGTTTCCTACGGGGCCATCCAGAATGGCATCTGTTGTTTAGCTCGTGGTTGTGATGAAGGGTACTGATATCCCAAACTCCAGCCCTGTGGAAAACTACTTGCATTTTTATGACCTCCATGTTCCTCCTCTTCATCAGATGAATCTGCAGCATAAGCCACCAAGCCAAATCCCTTCTCTGTAGTTTTCATCTTCTTCACTGGATAATCTAAAATAGAGAAAAACAACCCAACCCCATTCCCCACCAAGAAAAAAAAAAAAGATAATACCATAAATTCGTTAATAAAAAAAAGATGTTAATTGTAAGTGGTTAGTTGGACACCATTTTGAGGTCACAGGGTCAATGGTCACCCAAAAACGTTGAAGATCACACGAAAAACAGCAACAGCACCAGCAAATGTGAATCCACCAGAACCATGTAAGAAAACAGAGAAAGAAAAAAGAAACACAAAAAAAAAGAAAAAAGAAAAAAAAGGAAAGTTAGCAAGTGAGTCTCTGGTGCCTGATATTTCACCTTTTAAAGAGTTAAAAGAAAAGAAGTTAAGAAAAGAAAAATACGTATTTTCTTTTGTTCGATTTTATTATGACTATAGACAAGGAGCAAAATGATCCCATGTAACCCTACAGGATTTAGAGTTCTGGAACACTGAAGCAACACTATTTTATAAAAGCCACAGGCTGATCAACAGTTATAAGGGGAAATGTGGCTCATCTCCCAATACAAAGAAAAATCAATCTTTATTAAATCTATATCCGATTACTTCTAGGTATTCAGACAACAAAGGCAACAAAATTTTGAAATGACCTACCAATCATTAGTATTTCCTAGGGTTTTAATGTCACTGATGCTATGTATAAAATATAAGTCGACTGACTCTTTTCTAGACACACGTCGGTTGAAAACAAAAGGCTGTGTAACTATATGCTGTCCATATAAATAAAAAAAAAAAATTCTCATTAGCCAGATTACAGAGGTTGGATTAAACACCTGAATGAATCACACCTGAATGAACTTCAGGTCAGAAAACTAAACACTTAAGACCAGTCTTAGCTACTCCCTGTTCCCCCAGCTACACCTTACTCACCATGGTTCCCTGTTAAGGTCCCAGACCCATTCCTTTCATCAGACTCTGATTTTATTCCAGTCACTGGAAAGGCTGGTGGAGGCATCAACTGCCTATTAAAATAAAAAATGAAATACTCTTTCAGAAAAATTCAATTTTAACTTCTCCAGTACTTAGGTGGAACAATAGTCTGCAGATAATCTTTTTTTTTTTTATTTTTTTATAGAGGCATGTTTTATTTGTTTGTTTGTTTTGTTTATACATGCACTGGGTACAGTCAGAAGTGCGGGAGGGTGAGAGAATTCACCAGAGCCAGAGCGGGGAGCAGAGCAGGCAGAAGGACCGAAGTACACTGCTGAGGGGAGCAGCGGGCGGCAGAAGTCTGCGCGCCATATGGGACCCTCCTCTGGTGGCCAGGGAGCAGCCGGGGATCGAACCGGCGCTGCAGAGGCTGCGCACAGCTTCACAACCCAGCGCTCAACCGCTGCACCACCGGGGAGGCCCCAGATAATCTTTTGAGTTAATTTTAACCAGTAATTTTAACTCCTTTCACATGATCCCCCTACCCTTTAAACTTAGTATCAAATTACAAGGTTGTAAGGTCTGTTGACACAGCCAGAACATTCCAAAAATAGAACTGTTATGGGAAATCAGCTCCCCCTTATCAAAGATAATACAGGAAAGGAGAATTCAAGAACTGGATAGCAGGATGGATTTTCATTTAAGAACCTCTATGAACAATAGGTCATTGTCGTAAAAAGCAAGAATGGCTTGTGTAACCTATTATTCCCTATCCATGCACTGAATTATTCAGAATGTAGCTGTTTTAAAGATTTTATTTTCCACTACTGCATCAAACAGGAACACGTTTGAGCCAAACGATTTCACTTTTTTTTTAAAGATTTATTTTATTGGGCCTCCCCTGGTGGCGCAGAGGTTTGAGCGCTGGGCTGCGAAGCTGCCCGCAGCCTCTGCAGTGCTGGTTCGATCCCCAGCCGACGGCGAGGGTCCCACATGGCGCGCAGACCTCTCCTGCTGCGCCCGCTGCTCCCCTCAGCAGTGTATTTCGTCAGTCTGCCTGTTCTGTTCCCCACTCTGGCTCTGGTGAATTCTCTCACCCTCTCACGCTTCTAACTGCACCCAGTGCTTGTATAAATAAATAAATAAATCTTAAAAAAATTTATTTATGCATACAAGAGCTGGTTGTATAGGCGAAAGGTGCAGGGCTATGTGCAAGAGGATTCACCAGAGACAGAATAGAGAGCAGAACAGGCAGATCTACTGAAATACATTGCTGAGGGGAGCAGCAGGCAGACAAGAGAGGTCTGCTGCGCCATGTGGGTTAGCTCCTTGGCCGGGTATTGAACTTGTATAGTAGTGGCTGCTGATAGCTTCACAGTGCTGAGATTTAACCCCCTGAGCCACCAGGGAGGCCCGTCATTTTGGTTTGAGAACACAGAAGCTTGTGGAGCCTCCCTGGTGGCCTAGGGGTTAAGTCTCAACCCTATCACTGCTACCACCTGAGTTCTATCCCTGACCAGGGAACTAACCCACATAAGACACAGCAGACCTCTCCTGTCTTGCCCACTGCTCCCTGTACCAGTGTATTTCAGTAAAATCTGCCTGTTCTGCTCCCCACTCTGCCTCTGGTGAATCCTCTCACCACCCCCCACACCTCTGACATATACCCCAGTTATTCTACGCAAAAAAAAAAAAAAAAAAAAAAACACTTTAGAACACAGAAGCTTGTGTCAATTGAAATAACATGTGAATATATCCATGTGAGGTTTCAACCAACTCACCTGTCCCTCTCTCGCTCTTTGCCTGAGGAACTTGCCAGCTTCGATCCTGCACCTTCAATCTCATTCTGACTGGAGAAGCCTGTACCTAAATTAGTCATATGAATGGGTCCATGCTATGAGCAGAAAAATACATTGGCATTAGCAAATCTACAACTGCTGTATTGAGTTTAGCTCCTTAATGTAACTCAAGTGCCTCATCTTTCTGGTAAATGGCAGTAAGCTGCTCTACATAGTTTTTTGGGATTTGGAGTACAGCCACAGTGAAAAAGACATTATTTTTTCTCTGTAGGACTTTGTCAGTGTTGTTGTGACTCTTTATGTGAAGTCTGTTTCAACCATCCATACTGGTTTGTATAAACCTAATTATAAACTTTGAAAATGTTTCAAAGTTCTGATTTCAAAAAAATGTTTCCACAATTCTAACAAAAAGTAAAGGTGCTTGAATGAAACAAAATTGCACCCAAACTACATATTTTAATAATCATAAAAAAATTCTAGTGAATGACTATTAAAAATTATGTGTCTGCACAGGATTACTGTGTTTCTCTTATGGGGTAAGGGGAGGAAATGGGAAAAGAAATCACTCTCTTTTTTTCAGGGCAGAAAAGAATAGTAAGTTGAAAGCCAAGGTTTTAAACTCAAAGCACATATTGGTGGAATGACAGCTTTTGGAGAGATGTATAAGGAAGTAAGAACTATACAGCTTTAAGATTATTCAAGAGTCCAATGTATCAATGAGAGTGCAGAATTTGATAAAACTCAGCCCAGATGCTGGTCATAGGGGACTTCTCTCCAGTGGAGAGTTTTGTAGTCTTATCACACTGACCCCAAAGACAAAACCCACCCAAAGGGAATCATTCTTGCTTAAATTAATCCCCCAAGAATTAAAAACCTAATCTAAATGAATTTTTCTGGGATCCCAGTATTGGGAGAACAGTTGATATATTTGTGCATTTCTCTTTTTTCAAAAGGGAGAATTAGTAGGATGAGATGAGGAAAGTAAGACATGGTATTTTATTTAACCTGGTATCCAAGAAGTCCAGATTCTCGTTCATCTGGTAGCTCCTCTGTGAATCGCCTCTTCTGTGCCTGGGGTTGAGTTGGGAGTGGGGGCTGGTGGGGGCTGGGGTGGGGGCTGGGGACCAGCAGGCAAGGCAGTTTTGACAGGAGCAGCAGGAATAAAAGGCCCACTCATCGGATTCTGGGACCAAAACAAACCAAAGGGGAAAAAGAATGTGAGAATACCCAACTAACAAATTAGTAAACAATGATTACATATATTGTAATGATCAATATATACCAACATGAGTTTTTCATCTTTGTTTCCTTTATGTATAAAATTTGCTAACAGTTCACCTAGCCTTCCCACCTTCTTCAAAGGGAAACATGAAACGGATCTCTTCCGTGCTCTAAACTCAGGAGAAACAATGTATATGGGCTATTAGGGGCAAATATGACTGTTAAAAAACAAAAACTGGGCCTCCCTGGTGGCATAAGGGGTTAAGCACCGCACTACAAAGCAATCTGAAGCCTCCGCAGCACGAGTGCGATTCCTGGCCAGATAGGAAGCAACCCACATGGCACAGACCTCCCCTGCCTTGCCCGCTGCTCTCCTCAGCAGTGTATTTCAGTTAGTCTGCCTGTTCTGTTACCCACTCTGTCTCTGATGAATCCTCTCACCCCCCCACATCTCTGGCCTGTACCCCAGCTCTTATATGCATAAATAAATCTTTAAAAAATATATAATAAAAAATAAAAAAATAAAAAACAAAAACTCCAGCCACTTAATACAGTGGTTATCAAGCAAGAACATTCTCTTCACTTAAGGCTCTTTAATCAATGTGATTAGCTCTTTCCGGATAAAGCTTGTGGCAAAGGCAGCTTCATCTACCACTTTCATTGGCTAAGGAGTTGTTGTGTCAAGAGTGCGTCTGTCCTAATGTTTTAAGAAGTTCTTCCAAAAAGGAAAAGGGGTGGTCAAATGGCAGTATATACTAGACAAAATAAACACCCCTACAAATAAAGCTCTTAATAACAAACAGCTAACATTTATTGACTGTATCTCCTTACTTAATCCTTACAACTATTATCAAATATGCCCATTTTGTATATAAGGAAAACCAAAGCCTGAATCAGGTAAGTTATATTCCAAGATCACGCAACTCAAAATGAGAAAGTCATGCTCAACCCCTGCAGTCTAACCTTAAACCTTAACCACTCTGCCGTGTTGCTTCCTAATTACAAAAGAGTGGCTCAAAGCTTGAGAACTAGAGCTCTACCTACAAATAAAAAGTAAAATAATTATGAGTAGGGATCAGAAAGTCTAGTTCCTAAGTCCCTTTCTGCCTCAAATGTACAGCCCCTTTCAGTGCTCACAGTCCACGGGTGAGGGGCTGGGCAATGGTTCGAGGCTACACCTTACTCTCGCATGGGTACACTATGAGAAGCCCACAAAGAAGGGCCTACCATAAATCCATTTCCATGCTCTCACACTGACCTCTTTCCTACCACAAAAAAGGACTCTACATAGTTATCTACCTAGATGAGCGACTCACCTACTCTTGCTAAAATCCCAGTTTCTTACATGCTTGCTCATTCTATGGTATTGTCTGTGGCTGATTTTGCGCCACAGAGTGTACTAGCTATGACAGACTCTATGGCCTACAAAGGTTAAAATATTTTAACATCTGATTTTTTTTTTTAAGATTTATTTATTTATGCACACAAGAACTTGGGTACAGGCCAGAGGTGTGTGTGTGAGGGGAGGGGTGAGAGGATTCACCAGAGACATAGTGGGGAACAGAACAGGCGGACTGACTGAAATACACTGCTAAGGGGAGAAGCAGAAGAGTCAGGAGAGGTCTGCTGCACCATGCGGGTAGCTCCCTGTCTGGCCGGGGATTGAATTCGTGCTGCAGTGGCTGTGGACAGCTTCATAGGTTGTGTTTTAATCCCTTGTGCCACTAGGGAGGCCCTAATATCTGATTCTTTATAAAAAGCTTGTTGAGGGCCTTCCTGGTGGCACAGGGGTTAAAGACACAGCGCTATCAAGCTATTGCCAGCCACTGCAGCATGAGTTTGATCCCTGGCTGGCCAGGGAGCTAACCCACATGGCGCAGCAGACCTCTCCTGTCTCGCCTGCTGCTCCCCTCAGCAGTGTACTTCAGTATATCTGCCTGTGCTGCTCCCCACCCTGTCTCTGGTGAATCCTCCCCCCCCCATACACACCTCTGGCCTACACCCTAGTTCTTATACACATATATAAATAAATCTTAAAAAAAATAAAAACTTGTTGTCTACTACTATAAACTGTTTTATGACGACAAGATTTGTAAACTTTAGGATGAAAACACACACAACAAAGTATTCAGGTAGCCTGGCAATGGGAACACAGCAAGACAACAGGAAAAAAAGCCCCCACATTATGTATTTATTTCTGGTTAATCCCTCCACTCTTCCACCCCTCCCCTGCCCTAGTTTCCCCTAATTCAACAGCACCCTATTGTACATCCTCACATCCTACCTGTCCAGTGCTAGCTGGAGGCTGCACTTGTGTTATCGGGTATTGTGTTGGCACCGGTGGGACTCCAGTAGGTAATGCTGGCAAGACTCCAGGTGCCAATGAAACAGCAGGTGGCACTATGCTTGGGACTCCATAGGGAGGTTGAACTGGCTGCTGAGGAGGGGGAACAACAGGGTAACCAGACTGATAGCCATTGGATGGATAATATGGTGGCTGAGGAGGGACACTACTTATAGCAGAGGGTTGTGTATAGCCTGAGGGGGAAGAAAAAAAGTGTTTAATCAGCTGCAGCAGAATGAGACATTTTAACTGAATATTAAACTTAATCTCTAGGGAAGCAAAATACTGAGGCATGACTGGATTTCCAAATTATCCCTAAGTTGAAGGGAACATTATCGGTGCCCTGGCACGGTTATTCTAGCCTCAAGTATCACACTTTACACATAAATAATCACTAGCAAAACATTCTCTAAACACTTTAAGACATACACACCTGGTAAAGGTACAGCAGTATTAATCTGATTCACAAATCTAGAATATTCAGCATGAACCTGCAAGAGAAGGGAAAACAAATCAATCATGGATAGTCCTAATGTGTGGGCTATTTATAAAGGCTCGATTATACAATTTTAAGACCAAAGTAATTAGGAATTAAGTTACTTCCACTGATGCTCTGATCAAATTTAAACTCATCTAACTTAAATTTTAAAGCACACCTATAAATTATTAAGCAAGGTTTTGGGAATCAGAAGCATGGAAAATGCTAAATCCCACAAACTAGACAAATGCTGGGGTACAAAACCAGAGAACCACAGAAATTAAACTGTTATGAAAGCTATAAGTCATCAGTATAACTTCAGAAATCATTCACTCTATCTACAGGGTGGTCCGCCTATTCTTAGGGAACTCACAGCTAATAGAGGCGTGATACTTTCTCCAACTCCAGTTCTTCATTATAAGGATCCTAAGTCTATAAATTCAAGTAGCAACAAAGGAAAAGATTGGGAATGGTAAGGAAGTTATTTGGTACAAAGTTTGGTAAATCAGGTTACTTCACAAAAAGCAAAGTTTCCCAAAAGGGTACCCTTAAATAGCAAGTAACACAAGGATGAACATAATCAACCCCCAAACCTTATTTCCTTTAGGTGCTTCAAAAACAGTACTATGGGCCTCCCTGGTGGCATAGGTGTTAAAGTCAGCGCTATCAAGCTGTTGCCAGCCACTGGTCTGAGTTCACTCCCCAACCAGAGAGCTAACCCACATGGCGTAGCAGACCTTTCCTTTCTTGCCCACTACTCCCCTCAACAGTGTACTTCAGTAGATCCACTTGTTTTGCTCCCCACTCTGCCTCTGGTGAATCCTCTTACCCCCTCACCTCTACCCTACACTCCAGTTCTTGTATGCATTAAAAAAAAAATCTTAGGGCCTCTCTGGTGGCGCAAGGGTTAAGTAGCAACTTAAGAAGTTATCCGCAGCAGGAGACGCAACCTATGAAGCCACTGCAGCACAAGTTCAATTCCCGGCCAGCCAGGGAGCAACCCACATGACACAGCAGACTTCTCCTGACTCACCCCAGGGCTCCCTTCAACAGTGTACTTCAGTCAATCTGACTGTTCCGTTCCCCACTGTCTCTGGTGACTCCTCTAACCTCCCCACACACACCTCTGGCCTGTACCCCAGCTCTTGTATGCATAAATAAATCCCTAAAAAAAAAAATCTTAGAACAAAAAAAAAAAAAAAAAAAACAGCACTCTGGTTTAACTCGGTTATTTTATTACTTAAAAAAAAAAAAAGAGGGGCCTCCCTGGTGGTGCAAGGGGTTAAGAAACAACCTATGACGTTATCTGCAGCCACTGCAGCAAGAGTTGGATCCCTGGCCAGGGAGCTAACCCCCATGGTGCAGCAGACCTCTCCTGGCTTGCCCACTGCTCCCCTCAGCAGTGTATTTCAGTCAATCTGCCTGTTCTGTTCCCACTGTCTCTAGTGAATCCTCTACTCCCACACCTGTGTTCTGTACCCCAGTTCTTACATGCATAAATAAATCCTAAAAAAAAAACAACCCCAGAATGGACAATCAAATAATTATCCCCAAAACACTACTAACTGGTCTAAAACTATCATAGCTCTAATCTTTTACTTTAAAATTAATATTAAAAAAAAAAAAACTTATAATGCCATCATAAACAACTTGACTGGGATGAAAAGCATTTTATTTTATTTTTAAAGATTTATCTATTTATGCACACAAGAGCTGGGGTACAGGCCAGAGATGCGGGGGGTGAGAGGAACCACCAGAGACAGAGTGGGGAACAGAACAGGCAGACTGACTGAAACACACTGCTGAGGGGAGCAGTGGGCGAGACAGGAGGGGTCTGCTGCGCCATGTGGGTTTGCTCCCTGGCCAGCCAGGGATTAAAGTCATGCTACAGAGGCTGCAGTTTGCTTCACAGTGCGGTGCTTAACCCCTTGCGCCACCAGGGAGGCCCATGAAAAGCATTTTAAATAACACATGTGAGATTTTAGAATCCTAGGTAATGCAGATTTTGAAATTTCACACTGAAACAGCTCCTGAAGATATGCATGCCTGTGACCCTGGCTAGGGAGTTTGACTTCGTTATAGAGAATATAAGCTGCTAGAAGAGTGTAATGGTTTGACCAGTGTCTCCCTCTCTACACACATACCCCATTTACATCTGCCTGGACCTCAAATGTAACCTTATTTGGAAATGTGACCGTTGCAGATGTAAGTTATTAAGATGAGGTCATACTAAACCCAATGATCACTATCCTCAGGAGACAGACACAAAGATACAGGAAAGGCAGCCAGGTGAAGGTGGAGGCAGACTACAGTGACATGACACAAGCAAAAACTGCCAAGAACTCAGGCGATTATCTAGGAGGCAGGCCTAGGATACATTCCTTCTTGGAGTTCTCAAAAGGAAGCAACTCTGCCCATATCTTGATTTTGGACTTCTGTGAGAATTAATTTCTGTTGTTTTAAGTCACTCAATCTGTGGTGATTTGACATGGGATGTCTGAGAAATGAAACCAGGTAGGAAAAATGGCTAAGACACGATCCAAAATAGTAGTAGTTCTTCTGAATGAGTATATATAACTCACTGTTTGCAAGAGATTCTCACAGAGCTTCTTGGCAGCAGCCAGGCCCTCAGGTTTGGGATGACTGTAAAGGAATAATGACCAATAATTCAAAGGGGAAAAAGAGAAAAAATACAGGATTCTGCTTTTACTTTGACTGCTGTTTTGTAAATTTGATATATTCAATATAGAGCAAATCCAAGCTTCTGAAAAACCACAAAATAGGAAAACAAAATGTTAAATAAGCTCTTTAATATATAACTATCAATTACCACAAATATTTTATTGGTTTCTTTCTGAGTAATGGTATGTCTTGACATAAAGATGGTGAACGATCATTAAAATTACTACAAAATATAGTCATATTGTCATAGGTTCTAATGTAAGTTACATTAGGCTCATACAGCTCATTGTAGGATCACAGGCTTGTATAAAGCCCAAGCAAACTGAATACTAAAAACCCCAGTTCTACCTCCTCATTATTACCTAATTGGGATTACTCTTAGAGTTTATCTTAGCTCCTCAAGTAATTACTACTACTTTATTAAGTCCAACCCCTCTTACTCTGGAATCATTCCTACCTCTACAGGTAAGTTGACAAGTACTCAAATGTCTGAACCCCATACATTCATACCTGATGTAAATATACATAGGTTCAAAAGCTTCTCGGCCAGATGCTGGCTCAATGCAGCCTGAACCCTTGCCTCGTAGGAAGACTTTGGCACCTGTTTCAATCTGAATGTGCTGCAAATAGGAGCAACCTGGACCTTCCACTTTTTCCTTGACGTTAAAAGTGGGTACAGCATGTTCTAAACCCACAAATAATTTATCTTGAACATAATGCATCTGTGGAAGGAAAAAACACTTTAGATTAAACAGAAAATACATACCTTAATCTTGAAAATTAGTATGCAAAAATACTTTAATCCTCTAGATACTCTTAATCACTTCCAGGAATAAGGACACCTGCATTTCTACCATGATCCCATAAAAATAAACCCTGTCTGGTAGCAAAACTTGTGAGAACTACATATTCCAAGTACCTATCCACATTAATACTTTCTTTACTCTGTTCAGCAAAATATTTGTAAGCTGTGAAAACCCAAGATTCAATACTGAAGTAAACATACCCACTTCATCCCTTTATAAACTATGTGCAAGTTGTGATATAATATACAATAACACATAACATGTATATATACACATAAGAAATTATTATAAATAGCACAGTCTCCTATAAACTGCAGTGGAATGTTGGGTAGTACAGTCAGCCCAGTGACTTTCTCCAATAAGGGCTGCTCTCTCAAACCCTTTTTTCTAGGAGGATTGTATCAGCAGAATCTTACTTCATCAGACTCAGCCTTCTTAGTCCTCCAGCTGCTATCAACTTACAAACATAAGTTCCAACCACTAACTTCAAAATGTACAATAGATATTCTGTGATCTACCAACCCCCTTTATAGAATGTATCTGTTTGAAGATATATATGCTCAGATAATCAGTGAATCTTGGAAACCTAACTGACCTATAAACAGGTGTCAACAGTGGGTAACGTTCAGGTTAGAATTGCAGAATTCTCCCCCAACACACACACTTGCTGTATTATTTGGCATGTATCATTTTAATAGAAATGATAAAGCTGTTCATGATCTCTCCACAAAACATACCCCTGACTGGAAGGGAGGTTTCTGGCTAACAGCTGGAGACAGTTGTGCAATAGGTGCCGGCTGGTGATAGACAGTGACTGTTGCACCATTGAAAGTTGGACTAGTCCCTGTGGCAGCTTTCACTACCCCATTGGTGATAATTTCTTTGATTCGGTTTACTGCTCCTGGGAAAAAACACAGCTAGTAAGATACTATACCAAAGAACTGAATAAACAGACTAGTACCCAAAGGTCAACATAGGCCAGTGCTCAATTCCTCAAGTATTACTCCATTTTCTAGGTTACCCAGCATGTGGCTTACAACCTCTCTAAACCCCCATGGACATTCATGAGTAGTTCACAAATCAGAGTGAGAATACAGCCATTAGGAAGCAGACAACTTATTACATATTGCTCTGTATTTTGCCCTTTAAAAAAAAGCAGTATGTAAGCCCAAAATATCACTTACTGTCCACTAATTCCCGTGTCTGGCCCTGAACATGAAGATACAATGGCCGATCCCTATAAAGAGAAATATAAAATGATGATCCCAAACTAGTCACACCAAAGAAGGAGCCAACTGAGTTAACAAGTGTAATTCATAGTCTTTAAAGCTTCCAAATAAGTAAAAGAGATGATATGCACAGAAATGGTTGTTCCTATTTAATTTCTAAGAATACAGTTTCTCAGTTAGGGGAATGAATAAGCCTTTCTTCTTGCTTAAAGTTAACTGGCCCATACAGAGATCAAATCTATTCTTAAGGGTTCAAGAACATTAGTAGCCAATCAATTGAGATAACCCATTATTCTAGAACAGAATTTCTTTGTATTAGATATCTGTTAGGTTATAGGCAAATGTACTCTTATTACGGAAATTAATGGTGAGGTAAGGATAAATTAAAAGACGCACACAAACTGAGATCTATTAGGTTCCAAATGTAAAGATGACTTAGATTCAGATTTTGATTATAATAATGAAGAAAAGTGATCAATGACCAGTTTGTAAAAGGTGAAAAATAACTTCAAAAAAATAATTCAAAAAGCAACTAACACAAATACAAAATGGAAATAAATACTCTTAGTTTGTACTAAGGAGCAAATTTTGCCTGCTAATTGTGTTTGGTTTAAGCCACTGTTAAAATGTTGCACTTCAAAAGTACCTGTCCTCAAAAATTGAAATGAAAGAGATGAAATGACATGGAGATGAAAAAGGATAATTTACAATCTGTAATTATCAAAGATGCACTAAGGAGATGGAGAAAAGGCTTTTTTTAAAAAACAAAAAAATCAGCCCATTTTTAAAGGAATTATTTCCATAGAACAAAAGTTTTAGAAGTATATTCATTAAAAGTTAACAAGTATTATTTTTAAACTTTTGTCTAATTTGTTTTCTCCAATAAAAATTAAAAATAAAAAAAAAACCAAGAAAATAACTGCCAATATTTCTTACATCTATTTTGAGTCTCAGTATTTGCGTGCACATGCACCCCCGCCCCAAGCTACTAAACAAAAATTTACACATATTGCCTGAGAAAGGAAAATACGAAGCTAATGTCAGTGGTATATCCCAAACCTTCCCCAAAGTAAAGGATATGCATACACACCCTAGTCCCACTTTGGCCTTCTCCTCAGTTGTCATGAACCGCCCTCGAGTTGACACTGCAGCCCCACTAAGTCGGCTGATCTAAAAATGCAAATATTCTATTAAAATATGATGTGCCAATTGATCAATTTTAATGATAGCTAGCAGGATTGACTTTCCTCATTCATTCTACCAATATGGCAAAAATGAGTTCTCTTCTATATCTAAAATTTGAACTGCACTGTTTCTTACTCAAACCAACCCAGGAGATTAACCCATATCTGATTCTTTACCAAATAATTCCTCTGAGTTAAATTAAAGCCAACCCTTACTTCAAAGCCTAGGACCCAAACTCCTAACATCTGACTCCTGTTAGTCTGTATTAGTGATCTTGGTTTTCTGAAACCACATCCACCCACCACCTTCCCCACAGAAGCCCAACATCTCCACACCTCGTCTTGAGTCTGTCCTCGAGTCAGCAAGTTCCTACATGTAAGAGGCACATCATTGATTTCTACTTCAGCTACCACCAGGTCATCTTTGCTTTTATTGCTAGTTAGGCCTTTGCCAGGAGCCTGAAGCTACAAAAAAGAGAAATTTAAATTTATATGATGAAATAATATCTTTTCATTGTCCTCAGTCCCAAGCCCCACCATTTCCCTACTTTTCCTCTTACCGGCCTACGATCAGACTTGAAAACTTGATAATTCTTCATAAATGAAACAAGCAAACAAAACCTCAGTAAAATGACACCAAGTTTAGTTGATCTATCTAAAGATCAGTATATGATTTCTCTACAATCTCAACCACATGTACATTTTGATAACCACATAATTACAGAACCTGTGGGACTAAAATCTGCAGATCACCAAAAAAAAAAATATTAAAGGCCAAGTTATAATGTTTTATAGCTCAATTAGCTAGCTGTAAAGTAATAAAATACAAGGTAGAGTTCAATGCACATGATGAACAAGTCCAACAACACATATACCTCACTCATGCAACACAAAGTTGCCTTTGCGCCAACACTAGTCACAATGTATCAAATCCAATTAATTCCATCTTTGCAATGAACTACAAAACCCTTAAAGTGTATTTAGTAACCCATTACTCTGTATTAAAGAATGAGAACAGATGAAATGCAAGAACCAAAAACTGATCTGGTTTCTCTCAATTTAAACTACAAGCAATTCCAGAGAGCTGGATTTCAGTGTTATCTAAAAAAGTTTTAATCTCAAGACGCCTCCTCCAACTCTTAGCTGCCTCATGCCAATGTCAAGCTAAGGTGCTCAAGGGAGGTAATAGTTCTTTGTGCATTCAATACATTTTAAACCTAGACGCAAACTAAACAGACTCCATAATATCTCCTTACCCTAATTCTTTAGCCCCTTTCAGTTCACATTTATACTTCTCATACTTCTCACTGAATCCTTATAACCAACTTTAAAGGTACATTATCAGTATTATCCAACATTACTGTGTTTTCTATCTGGGAGCCCAATATAGGTGCCACTAACCACATGAGATGGACTGCAGTCAACCCCATCATAAATGAGGGAACTGACGCACCAAACGTCAAAGACACACAACAAATAAATGGGAGTTCTGTGTTTCAAACACACCTATTCTAATTCTAAATCCAGTATTTATGCACCATACTGCCTCCTGCTGTTTAAGTGCCACTTTAGAAATTATTCTTCAGAGAAGAAAATGAACCTAAATGATTAATATCAAGAATTTCAATATTCAAGGAACATTCCACCTTTGTCAGTGTGCTTTTACTTCCTTGCAAACCTTAGAAATGGTCAGACTGACAAAATCTTTGCAAACATTAAAAATAATGAATAATGGGCCTCCCTAGTGGCCTCTGGGTTAAGTCTCAGTTCTATCACCGTGATGGCCTGAGTTCGAGACCCATTCTGCTCCCCATTCTGTCTCTGGTGAATCCTCTCACCCTCGGCATCTCTGGCCTGCACCCCAGTTATTTCATGCAAAAATAAATCTTTGAAACAATGAACTTCCAATTCTGTAAAGATTCCCATCAATTCTAAGCAACTTTAATATCTTACATTCAGACACATATGTCTTACTACTAAATATTCTGTTGATATTCTCTACTAATAAATTAGAAAGTTAGGGGCTTCTTTGGTGGCTCAAGGGGTTAAGTCTCAGCACTAAGCAGCTACTGCAGCACAAGTTCGACCCCTGGCAAAGGAGCTAACTCAGAAAGGTGCAGGATACCTCTCCTGTCTAGCCCACTGCTCCCCTCAGCAGTGTATTTCAATCAATCTGCCTGTTCCACTTCCCATTCTGTCTCTGGTGAATCCTCCCTCCCTACCCGACACACCTGTGTTGAAACCCCAGCTCATGCATTCATAAATAAATCAATCTTAAAAAAAAAAAAAAAAAGGAGAGAGAGTTGGAAGATTAACAAAATGCATTTCCCCCTTCCAGGTTTAGTGAGGTAAAATGAACAAATAAAAATTATATATATTTAAGGTGTACACCTTGATGTTTGATGTAAATGTACATTGTGTCATATTCACCACAAACATGCTAATTAGCATATCCATAACCTCATATGAATTGCATTTTTAACACAGAACTCATCTCTTCATAGATCACATGGAATGCAAATTTTAACTTAAGCAAAAGATTTTTTCAAGTAACGATCACAACAAAATGGGATGCCTTGGAAGATAGTTAATTCTCCAACTCTAGAATCTTCATAAAGCAAAAGCAAAATCTTAAACTGCCCAAGGTGACTCTTAAGTCAGACATCTGTACCTCCTCCACATCTTGAACAAATTACATCATGAACCTAATTTTCTTCACCTGAAAACTGGTAAGTTATCTACTCTGAAGAACCATTGTAAGGATTAAGTAAAAAGCATACATTCACAAACCTTTTCCCTTCTGCAAAACAGGAGTGGCAGCTCTCCTCCCCAACTACGACTATGCAGGTACCTCTCTCTCCTTTTCTTAGTAAACTTGTCCTGTTAGGGCCTCCCTGGTGGCGCAAGGGGTTAGTTAAGATGCAACCTATGAAGCCATCCACAGCCCCTGCAGCACGAGTTTGATCCCTGGCCAAGGAGATACCCACATGGTGCAGCAGACCTCTCCTGTCTTGCCCACTGCTCCTCTCAGCAGT